ACACTCCAACAGATCGTCAGGTCCCAAATATCATTCATCTCCATTCACTCCTATCGAACATGCTCACCCACGCCTGCTGGAAGTCCAAGCCCCTCGCCCACAAAACCTCCCTTACCCCTTCCTTCCAACCTTTTCGAGGATGACCCCTACCCCGCCTTCCTTCCCCTACAGATTTAAATGCTCTCCATGTCATTCTACTTTGATCCATTCTCTCCAAAATGACCAAACCACCTCAAACACCCTCTTCAGCCCTCTGACTAATACTTTTATTAACTCCACACCCTCTCCTAATTTCCACACTCCAAATTTTCTGCATAATATTTACACTACACATTGCCCTTAGACAGGACATCTCCACTGCCTCCAACCGCCTCCTCGCTGCTGCATTCACAATCCAAGCTTCAGACCCATATAAGAGTATTGGTACTACTATACTTTCATACATTCCCTTCTTTGCCTCCATAGATAATGTTGTATGTTTCCACATACACCTCAATGCACCACTCGCCTTTTTTCCATCATCAATTCTATGATTAACCTCGTCCTTCATAAATTCTTCTGCCAACACGTTTAACTCCCAAGTATCTGAAAACATTCACTTCTTCCATACTCCTCCTCCCCAATTTGATATCCAATTTTTCTTGATCTAAATCATTTTGATACCCTCATTTACCTTATCTTTTTCTATGTTCACTTTCAACTTTCTACCTGTACACACACTCCCAAACTCGTCCACTAACCTTTGCAATTTTTCTTTAGAATTCCCATAAGCACAGTATCATCAGCAAAAAGCAACTGTCAATTCCCATTTTGTATTTGATTCTCCATAATTGTTAAATGTTGATGAAGATAGGGAAGCTGTGTTTTAGTGTATAGGGCAAGGAGGAATAACATCTTGTTTGGAGTGAGGAAGAGCCAGTTGTGAGTGTGGGGGAAGTTCGTGAGGCAGTAGGTAAAAAAGAAAGGGGGTAAGGCAGCCGGGATTGATGGGATAAAGATAGAAATGTTAAAAGCAGGTGGGGATATAGTTTTGGAGTGGTTGTGCAATTATTTAATAAATGTATGGAAGAGGGTAAGGTACCTAGGGATTGGCAGAGAGCATGCATGTTCCTTTGTATAAAGGCAAAGGGGATAAAAGAGAGTGCAAAAATTATAGGGGGATAAGTCTGTTGAGTGTACCTGGTAAAGTGTATGGTAGAGTTATAATTGAAAGAATTAAGAGTAAGACGGAGAATAGGATAGCAGATGAACAAGGAGGCTTTAGGAAAGGTAGGGGGTGTGTGGGGCCAGGTGTTTACAGTGAAAACATATAAGTGAACAGTATTTAGATAAGGCTAAAGAGGTCTTTGTGGCATTTATGGATTTGGAAAAGGCGTTTTTGACAGGGTGGATAGGGGGGCAATGTGGCAGATGTTGCAAGTGTATGGTGTAGGAGGTAGGTTACTGAAAGCAGTGAAGAGTTTTTACGAGGATAGTGAGGCTCAAGTTAGAGTATGTAGGGAAAGAGGGAAATTTTTTTCCAGTAAAAGTAGGCCTTAGACAAGGATGTGTGATGTCACCGTGGTTGTTTAATATATTTATAGATGGGTTGTAAGAGAAGTAAATGCGAGGGTTTTGGCAAGAGGCGTGGGAGTTAAAAGATAAAGAATCACACACAAAGTGGGAGTTGTCACAGCTGCTCTTTGCTGATGACACTGTGCTCTTGGAGGGTTCTGAAGAGAAGTTGCAGAGATTGGTGGATGAATTTGGTAGGGTGTGCAAAAGAAGAAAATTAAAGGTGAATAAGGAAAGAGTAAGGTTATGAGGATAACAAAAAGATTAGGTGATGAAAGATTGAATATCAGATTGGGGAGAAGAGTATGGAGGAGGTGAACGTATTCAGATATTTGGGAGTGGAGTGTCAGCGGATGGGTCTATGAAAGATGAGTGAATACTAGAATTGATGAGGGAAAAAGAGTGAGTGGTGCACTTAGGAGTCTGTGGAAACAAAGAACTTTGTCCTTGAGGCAAAGAGGGGAATGTATGAGAGTATAGTTTTACCAACGCTCTTATATGGTGTGAAGCGTGGGTGATGAATGTTTGCAGCGAGGAGAGGCTGGAGGCAGTGGAGATGTCATGTCTGAGGGCAATGTGTGGTGTGAATATAATGCAAAGAATTCGTAGTTTGGAAGTTAGGAGGAGGTGCGGGATTACCAAAACTGTTGTCCAGAGGGCTGAGGAAGGGTGTTGAGGTGGTTCGGACATGTAGAGAGAATGGAGCGAAACAGAATGACTTCAAGAGTGTATCAGTCTGTAGTGGAAGGAAGGGGGGTAGGGGTCGGCCTAGGAAGGGTTGGAGGGAGGGGGTAAAAGGAGGTTTTGTGTGCGAGGGGCTTGGACTTCCAGCAGGCATGGTGAGCGTGTTTGATAGGAGTGAATGGAGACAAATGGTTTTTAATACTTGACGTGCTGTTGGAGTGTGAGCAAAGTAACATTTATGAAGGGATTCAGGGAAACCGGCAGGCCGGACTTGAGTCCTGGAGATGGGAAGTACAGTGCCTGCACTCTGAAGGAGGGGTGTTAATGTTGCAGTTTAAAAAACTGTAGTGTAAAGCACCCTTCTGGCAAGGGACGTGATGGAGTAAATGATGGGAAAATTTTTTTCTTTTTCGGGCCACCCCCTTTGGGGGGAAAATGGGCCCGGGTGAATAAAAAAAAAAAAAAAAAAAAAAATAATTTAATCTACCCCTCCCCAAATCCCCTGCATTTACTTCTTTTACAACCCCACTAAAATATATTAAACAACCATGGGACTTTTCCTTCCCTGTCTAAGCCCTACTTTTAGGGGAAAGTATTCTCCCTCTTCTACCCCCCCCTAACCTGACCCTCACTTTCCTCTAAAAACTCTTTAAACCTTTTAGTAATTTAAACCACCTATTCTTATACTTGAACATCTGCCACATTTCCCCCCCCATCCACCTACATATCCCCTTTTCTAAACCCATAAATGCAATTAAAAACCCTCCCTACCTTTATCTAAATACTGTTTCAATAAAATTCAATGAAAAACACTTATTAAACCCCCCTACCTACCAAAAACCTCCTTACTCATCCCAATCCTACATTCGTCTTACCCTCTATTCTTTCAGTTATCCCCCCTCCTACACTTTTCGGGTATACTCAGTAAATTTTTTTCCTCTAAAAATTTTTTCAATCTTTTTTACCCCCCCTTCCCTTTATGAAAAGGGGGCTATATCGAAATATTATCATGGGATGCATGTTGTAAGAGGCGACTAAAATGCAGGGAAGGGCCTGGAACCCCTTCTGCTGTATAAATTGCTAAATTTTAAAAAAGAAACTTTTGTTTTTCTTTTTGGGCCACCCTGCCTTGGTGGGATATGGCTCGTTTTTGGGAAAAAAAAATTATAAATGGTGCAAAGGTGACATTAAAACAATATCAAAGATGGTTGACACAAACACTCTGCCATTATTGTATGCTCCTCACTTAGCGATGGATTCGTTTAACGAACATGGTTTTAGGAATGGAACTTCATCGTTAAGTGTGGAGAGGCTGTACATTAATAAAACACAGTGCAGTATGTGGTTTATGGCATTTCATTGTGATACACAAATAACCCGCACATAGAAGAGAGGAGCTTACGACGACGTTTCGGTCCGACTTGGACCATTTACAAAGTCACACTAACCAGAAGTGAGGCAGGAAGAGGTGGTGGTAGTAGTAGTAGTAGTAGTAGTAGTAGTAGTGGTAGTAGTGGGGAACTAAGGAGGAGGAGCCAGTCAAATATGAAGAAAGGGGGAGCACTGCAAGGGAGCTAGGTGCCCACAGGGAGAACAAGTGCACCGAGGTGGGGGAAGGGGAATTGATGAAATAAATAATGAAGGAACAGAAACACACGACAGAAGGAAGACAAAAAAAAAAAATAGGAGGAAGGGGGAAGAGGGAGAACACCCGTGACTTAACCTGATTCCTCATTTTTTCTTCTTCTCCCTCTTCCCCTTTCCTTTATTTTTTTCTTCTTCTGTTGCGTGTTTCTGTTCCTTCATTATTTATTTCATCACTTCCCCTTCCCCCCCCACCTCTGTGCACTTGTTCTCCCTCTGTGGGCACCTAGCTCCCTTGCAGTGCTCCCCTTTCTTTATATTTGATGGCTCCTCCTCCTTAGTCTACTACTACTACTACTACTACTACTACTACTACTACTACTATTACTACTACTATTACTACTACTACTACTACTACTATTACTACTACTACTACTACTACTACTACTACTACTATACTACTACTACTACTACTTTACTACTATTACTACTACTATACTACTACTACTACTACCCACTACTAAATATACTACTACTACTACTACTAATACTACTACTATACTACTACTATTTCTACTATTACTACTACTACTACTACACTACTACTACTACTACTACTACTAACTACTACTACTACTATACTATACTAATCTACCTACTACTACTACTATACTACTACTACTACTTACTACTACTACTACTACTACTACTACTACTACTACTACTACCACCACCACCACCTCCTCCTCTTCCTGCCTATATATATAGCCATCCTGCCTCACATCTGGTTAGTGTCACTTTGCAAATGGTCCAAGTCGGACCGAAACATCGTTGTAAGCTCCTCTCTTCTATATGCGGGTTATTTGGGTTATTTGTGTATCGTTCCAGTCACGTTATTGTGCCTTTTTTTGTTATTTATTTCATTGTGACTTTGATTTAGACCAGGGACTCTTATCAATTGATAGTCTCTGTTGGAGTAATGAACGTCTTCTCATTATCATGCCATGAACTGCATGTTGTTTTTATTAAAAATCATTAAGGAGAGCTTTTACTCCTTACAGAGTTCAAAAGAGAATTTTGTAAAGCCTTCCTTTGTTCTGTCTTTATATTAACCACCTATTAGTTAATCACTGATCATTAAAAAATATTTAAAATTGTGTATATATTGTCTCTTCTAGCACTAGAGAAGAAACATGACTTTGTGGTAAAGATGAGAGATGTAGTGACGAGTCTTCCCCGACCAGTGTTTGTTGTTATGCGGTACCTCTTTGCATTCCTTAATCAGTAAGTAGCATTTGAATACATTTTCTTACTAAAGCAACAAACATTTTGAATATGTGATAGGTAAAGTTGTGTGATGTGGCCTGCAAATGCACACACCCAAGTAACAATAACATTCAAGTGTGATACATAAATAGAGATGCAGGCAGTTAGTCAGGAGGATGAGATCTCATATTTGTTTTGGCATGCTGAATGAGTGCAGTATTTATTTATCTATTACAAAATGTAATCACTTTTGTTTTTGCAGAATATAGCCAATGAATACTCTACCTTATTTAATGCTTTATTAGTTTTTTTTGCTAAATTGTGTAAAATACTAATGGCAATCAACATCATTGCCTATACTTGCACTAGTCCATCTTTCTACCAATAGTTGCTAATTTCTTACCCCAACTACCTCCTCCTCCTCTAGTTTATAAACTTTCATCTCTCTGTTGCTGATGCTGTTCTCCTTGTATTTGCATAATGATTGTATTGTCTTTCTCCAGCCTGTCTGAATTCAGTGATGAAAATATGATGGATCCCTACAACCTTGCCATTTGCTTTGGTCCCACTCTGGTGCCCATACCTGAAGACAAAGATCAGGTAAACTTGAATATACATATGTATATAAAAAAAAAATATAATACTGTTTAAGACAGTATCATTGTCACACTAATTTCTTTCTAATTAAACATTAAGATATCAACTTATGTTGAAATTTTCATTAGACAAGCAAAATGTAAATGCAACCTTTAATAATCTTGAAAGTTGCTTTTGATATATCAAATTGTATTTTTAACAATTAAATTGATTTAGTATTTGACTAAATGAAATTCATTGCTCTTAACTTTGTTTCATGCTATTTTAAAGCTAGCAAATAGCTGACTCATAAATGGTAAATTCACATCTTTCAACCAGTTTGTGATGGGTGTACAGTGCCTGCAAATAATCTATACATTTACAATGCAAAAAAAAAAAAATCTATGCACAAGATTTTGGTGTATACATTTCACATGCATTTCTGCCATAGGGAAAGTGGATGGAGCTTGTGATGACTTGGTGTACCAGAGCCCATCTTGCTCCATTGTTCCCCACCATTCCACGCTTCAGTGCTCTGCCAGAGCTCGGTGAGGAAGGAGGCCTGCTACGTTGTTTCTCAGTGCCCCTTTTTCATGAATTTTGCCATGCTGTATCTTCGTTCCATGTGGCCAGAATGGGTTGAACTAAATTTTCAATTGCAGAGAAGACCCACGCACTCACACTATTAGAGCAAGGCATGTCTGTGATACGTGTAGCTGCAGACCTGAAGGTGATGAGGCTGGCGGTTTACAACCTCAAGGAAGCAGCTGCCTTACTCCCACTTAGCACTGTACCACCCAGGAAGCTGGCCTCTGGGGCCCCATGACCTGATAACACTTCCCTCTTCAGGATCTTGTCTGTGCAAAGAGAAGTATTTTTGGGGACCCCAGAGGCCAGCTTCCTGGGTGGTATAGTACTAGGTGGGAGTGAGGCAGCTGCTTCCTTGAAGTTTTAAATTGCCAGCCTCATCATCTTCAGGTCTGCAGCTACACGTATCACAGACATGCCTTGCTCTAATAGGGTGAGTACCTGGGTCTTCTCTGCAATTGAAAGTTTAGTTGGACCCATTCTGACCACTTGGAGTGGAGATATAGCGTAGCAAAGTTCGTGAAAAAGGGGCATTGAGAAACAACGTAGCAGACCTTCTTCACTGAGCTCTGGCAGAGCACTGAAGCGTGGCATGGTGGGGAACAATGGAGCAAGATGGGTTCCAGTACACTGTCATCACAACCTCTGTCCACTTTTCCTATGGTGCAAATGCAAGTGAAATGTATGCACCAAAATCTTGTGCATAAATTGTTTTTTGCATTGGAAATGTATAGTTTTTTTGTGGGCACTGTAGGTTTAGCAGACTTCATTTCTTAAACTGTATATTCTCGTACATAAGTAAACATTATTCCTGCCTCCTACTTATAAAAAAGTTGATTTTATTACAAATGCTATCATCCTTTGCACATCCAACTTGCCGTACATCATACGGAATTACAGTGGAACCTCGAGTTTCGGCTGCCCCAAGTTTTGGCTGTTTTGAGTTTCGGTCACTTTTTTCAGCTAAATTTTGTCTTAACTTTCAAACAGTACCTTGAGTTTCGGCCGCCATGCCAGACCTGTCCGCCTGCCTGCACATCAGTCTGGCTTTGTTTTTGCTCGAGTGAACGTTACCCTGCGCATTCATCCAAACATTTTGCAGTAATCCATTGTTTTTTGTGCTTGTTGATTGAGTACAACTGTTACATAATTTACCATGGGACCAAAAAAAACTTCCTAGTACCAGCCCTTTGGTAAAGAAAAAGTGAGAAACACGATAGAATTGAAGGAAGAGATTGTCAAAAAATATGAAAGTGGTATGTGTGTGCTCCAGCTTGCCAGGATGTATGGCAAAAACAAAATCACCTATCAGTTCCATCCTGGCAAAGTAAAAAGAAATCAAGGAAGATGATACTGCGAATGGGGTAGTTATGCTAACGAAAAATAGATCACAGACAATCAAAGATGTTGAGAAGTTGTTGGTGGTGTGGATCAATGATAAACAATTAGTGGGAGATAGTGTTTTAGAAAAAATCATTTGTGAAAAGGTGAGGCAGTTGCACGTGGATCTCATAAAGAAAATGCCTGGAACGAGTGCTGCTGTTAGTGAATTTAAGGCCAGCAGAGGCATACACAGTGTTACAAGGCATGGCGAGGCTGCAGGTTCGGACAAACGTGCAGCTGTAAAATTCGTACATGAATTCAAATGCGCGCGCATGCGCGCACACACACACACACACAGGAGCTCGGACTCGACCCCCGCAACCTCAACTAGGTGAGTACACACACACACACACACACACACACACACGCACACGCACGCACGAGAGAGAGTGTATGTACTATGTAAAGGCTGAAGGATTTGTCCCCCAACAAGTGTTCAATTGTGACGAAACAGGCCTCTTTTGGAAGAAAATGCCAAAGAGGAGCCACATCACGCAGGAGGAAAAGGCACTGCCAAGACACAGGCCTGTGAAGGATAGGCTAACTCTTTTGTTCTGTGCTAATGCTAGTGGGGATTCCAAAGTGAAGCCTGTACTGGTGTATCACTGAAAATCCCAGAGTGTTCAAGAAAAACAATGTCGTCAAGTAAGCTAGGTGTCGAATCAGAGGTCAAGTACATTGTGTGCGATGTGGAGGGCTAACAATAAGGCATGGGTCACAAGGCAAATTTTCATTGACTGGGTCCGTGAAGTGTTTGGCCTGAGTGTGAAAAAATATCTCCAGGAAAATAAATTGCCACTCAATTGCCTCCTGGTACTGGACAGTGCTCCTGCTCATCCTCTAAACTTGGTAGACCTGTTGTCTATGGACTTCATTTTTATAACAGTGAAGCTCTTGCCTCCTAACACCAATCTTCTCATCCAGCCCATGGACCAGCAGGTCATTTCAAACTTCGAAAAACTCTATATGAAAGCAGTGTTTCAAAGGTGCTTTGAAGTGACCTTGGACACTGAATTGACCCTAAGAGAGTTCTGGAGGAATCACTTCAATATCTACAACTGCATAAGCCTTATAGGTAAGGCTTGGCAAGGAGTGACTGCCAGGACTTTGAACTCTGATTGGAGAAAATTTTGGCCAGATTGTGTCCAAGAGAAGGATTTTGAAGGGTTTGAGGCTGACCTTGTCGACCCTACGCCTGTTGTGGAATCTGTTGTGTCTTTGGGGATGTCCATGGGGTTGGAGGTGAGTGGTCAGGATGTGGAAGAGTTGGTAGAATACCACAGGAAAGACCTAACCACTGAAGAGCTGCAAGACCTTCACCTGGAACAGCAACAGACCACAACTGAGGAACTGGCTTCAGAGGAGGAGGAAGAGGGAGGGAAGGAGGTGCCTTCTTCAGAGATTAAGTAGATTTGTGCAGTGTGGCATAGGGTGCAAGCTTTCATTGAGAAATATCACCCTGAGCTAGCTGAAACAAGCCATATCTGCAACATGTTCATAACAAAACCTTGTCCCACTTCAGACAGATGCTAAAGAGACACCAGAAACAGACCTCTCTGGACAGTTATTTTTGTGCGACAGGGGTCCAGTGACTCTCAAGCTGGTCCTAGTGCCATTAAAAAACAAAGAAGGGAAGTAACCCCAGATAAGGACTTGGTACCTAAAGTCTTTATGGAAGGGATTCCCCTTCCGAACAATAACAAGGCCTCCCTCTCTCCTCCCTGTCTTCCATATGCCAACAATATTCTTCAATAAAAGTATGTAAATGTGTCTTTAAACATTTATTTAAATATTTATTCATCTATTTCATTAGTCATTTAAGTACTATATGTATTTATAATTGTTTTGTGTTTGTAAAACTATAGTTATTCTTTAAAAAATGTGTTTTTTTGTTAATATTTTTGGATGTCTGGAATGGATTAATTGGATTTTCATTATTTCTTATGGGAAATATTGCTTTGACTTAAAAACAATTTGAGTTTTGGCCAAGCTTCTGGACCAGATTACAGCCGAAACTTGAGGTTCCACTGTAATTTATTTCCTTGAGCTTAGGTGCCTTTTGTCTAGTCATATTGAAAAATAAGAATAAGAATAATGAAGGAGGAGGTTTGCCACTGATGGGCTGCTCAAGTGGAGGAAATGTAGCTGATGGCTTAATTGCCAGTGTGCTTTAAAAAAAAAATTGTTTTAATGAAGTCATTGTTACAGTAGCCTAACTTCATAATTTCTTAAAATTCAACTTTCAGTGGACATTGTTATATGCATAGAATTGGTAGTTTGATCACCGACTAAACTCATAAAATATTTTGAAACCTGGTGTAAATATATAAAGGAGAAAAAGTACCTGCCCCAAGTAAAGGTAGTACAACATATTGCAGGTTCAGTACCAGAATTTGGTTAATGAGTTGATCAAGAATATAATCATCTTTAGTGAAGACATCTTCCCCAGTGATGGTGGTCATACCTACGAAAAATACATCTCACGTGATTCTATAGACCTAGAAGCTGAGGTGGGAGATGCTCCTTCAGAGGCTCATGATGATGTTGACTCAGAACCTGGACAATCTGAGGATGGTAAGCTGGTGTGACATCATTGCGTGTCACCCTTTCATAACATTCAAGAAGCTGAATCAGTTGTGTATTTTTGTTGTTTAATATAAACTAATACAGTATTCCATTGTGTGTTTACTCAAACTTTTAGTAGGATCATTTAGTGGTTTAATTTTGCTTATCTTCATTTCTCACTCTTTTTAAGTAGTACAATCTTTCAGCTTTAGTCTTATTTCTCCTTTTATAATATAATAATATCTTATTTACTACAAGTACATGAACATGGTATACAGGCCTAGCTGACATCAATGACATACTAATATATAGAAATCCCCTTGTTATACAGAGCATTTCAGGCAAATTAGGTCTTTGTCTCAGGATGCGACCCACACCAGTCAACTAACTCCTAGGTACCCATTTTACTGATGGGTTAACATAGACAACCGGTGTAAAGAAACTCACCCAGTGTTTCTACCCGCGCTGTGAATCGAACGCAGACCCTCGCTGTGTGAAGTGAGAGCTTTAGCTACCAGGCCACGGTGGCATCAGATTATCAAGGAAAATAAGTAAAAAAGACAAATAGGTGCCCATTATACTTGTAAGATAAGTATGTATGCACACGACAGTTTATCAAGGTGTTTTAAAATGTTAACTCAGCAGGACATTATTTATCTGAATTGCATACCACTAAAAAAATATGAACACCCAGTAATTTGACCCCCTTGAGGAATTATACCATTGTCTTAATTATCCATGGCCTAAGTGGTAAGTCTGTGGTGCAGTATACATTACAATAAAATAATAAAAAGAAGTAATGCCACACTTGAGGTATCTTCATCTGAATTTACATTATACACATCTCTGTTAGGAGTCTGTGGAGACAAAGAACTTTGTCCTTGGAGGCAAAGAGGGTAATGTATGAGAGTATAGTTTTACCAACGCTCTTATATGGGTGTGAAGCATGGGTGATGAATGTTGCAGCGAGGAGAAGGCTGGAGGCAGTGGAGATGTCATGTCTGAGGGCAATGTGTGGTGTGAATATAATGCAGAGAATTCGTAGTTTGGAAGTTAGGAGGAGGTGCGGGATTACCAAAACTGTTGTCCAGAGGGCTGAGGAAGGGTTGTTGAGGTGGTTCGGACATGTAGAGAGAATGGAGCGAAACAGAATGACTTCAAGAGTGTATCAGTCTGTAGTGGAAGGAAGGCGGGGTAGGGGTCGGCCTAGGAAAGGTTGGAGAGAGGGGGTAAAGGAGGTTTTGAGTGCGAGGGGCTTGGACTTCCAGCAGGCATGCGTGAGCGTGTTTGATAGGAGTGAATGGAGACAAATGGTTTTTAATACTTGACGTGCTGTTGGAGTGTGAGCAAAGTAACATTTATGAAGGGGTTCAGGGAAACCGGCAGGCCGGACTTGAGTCCTGGAGATGGGAAGTACAGTGCCTGTACTCTGAAGGAGGGGTGTTAATGTTGCAGTTTAAAAACTGTAGTGTAAAGCACCCTTCTGGCAAGACAGTGATGGAGTGAATGATGGTGAAAGTTTTTCTTTTTCGGGGCACCCTGCCTTGATGGGAATCGGCCAGTGTGATAATAAAATAAAATAATAACATCTCTGTTCAAGTTATTTAAACATCATCTGAAATGTATGGAGTGACTGTTGAGTAAAGTTATCAATATCCACAAAAATAATAAAGCCAGTGTAAGCTGCTTCACATAAAGATGAGGCTCTTCTGATAAATGCATCCCTCAGCACATGCAGGTGGGTGCATTTAGGTTGCATACCTTGTGATTAGTGGAGAGAGAGACTGAGGCTCTACCACTCCATCTGAATGACCTATTTGAGTCTAGGTCTTTATAAAAATAACACTGCTTGAGTTAATAAAGAATGACTTATTATTTGTAACTGACTTTGTTATAAATTGGACACACTGTCTTTTGCTCTTTTAAGAGATTGTCAGTGTCCATATCTGGAAATATTCCCTACAATATCTTAATATTTGAGTTTTGAAGGTGAGAAGTACAGTTCCTGCTTTCATGAAAGATTGGTGGTGATGCAAATAAATGGGTTATTTGAATTGTGTGATCCATGCACTTACGCAAGGACAATAGAGAGTGGTTGATTGTGAGTGTTTCTTTCATTGGGTCACTACTTTGGTAGGAAATTACCATTGTGTTGAAAATAGGTATATTTCTTGCCTTCATTTCATTAAGGATGGTTTGAGAGGTTTTATTTATTTACAACAATTTAGATATTAGAATTGATACAAGCAGTGAATGTTCTCTCCGGATCTGCATTTTCACCTGCTTTATTTTAAATAATTGCTAATGTTACCCAAGTGAGATATTGAGGGATGGGTTGATAGCAACAAAAATACTCCTCTGCATCAAACACTGACCAAAATGTTCTTATGAGTTAAACACTACCGAACTATTGTTAATTGAAGATTACACAAATAACCCGCACATAAAAGAGAGAAGCTTACGACGATGTTTCGGTCCGACTTGGACCATTGACAAAGTCGCTTTTATGTGCGGGTTATTTGTGTATCGTTCCAGTCACGGTATTGTGCCTTTTTGTTATTTATTAATTGAAGATTTGAATGCAGATGAATAGGCAATGAAGAAGCAGTTGATAAAAGTACAGATACAAACAAATTACATTGCTTATGGACCCTACAAATTTTCTTTTTTAACCCTTTGACTGTTGCGGCCGTATATATACGTCTTACGAGGTACCGTGTTTGATGTATATATACTCATAAATTCTAGTGGCTTCAAATCAAGCAGGAGAAAGCTGGTAGGCCCACATGTGAGAGAATGGGTCTGTGTGGTCAGTGTGCACCATATAAAAAAAATCCTGGAGCACGCAGTGCATAATGAGAAAAAAAAAACTCTGACTGTTTTTTTTTTTTAATTAAAATGCCGACTTTGTGGTCTATTTTCATATAGTATTTATTGTTGTATTCTCGTTTTCTTGGTCTCATTGATAGAATGGAAAACATATTATAGAAATAGAGGTGATTTTGATTGATTTTACTATAAAAAGAACCTAGAAATGGAGCTCAAAGTTGGGGAAATGTTTGATTTTTGCCAATGTTCAAAAGTAAACAAATGATGCCATTGTCCAATAAATGTCCAACTAGCCATTCTAATATGCAGTCATGAATGGGTTGATGTTATTTATACAATTATTACAGTATTGCAGTAGTCTGCATAATAGTAAGTCTTATATTTTTTGTTTGAATAAAAATTCAAAATAGAAAGCAAGAGTAATATTAGAGGGGCCTGGAGACATGACTGATGAGCAAAGAAAATGTTATTTTAGAGCCAGGAATGTCTGCATTGTTCATTCTGGACCTTTTGAAATTGTCATATTTTTTAGTTTTCGTGAAATTGGCCAAATTGCAAATTTCTGACCACATTATTAGGTAGTTGAAATCGGTAAATGGGCAGTTTCTTGTACTCAATCGATAGAAAAAATAGAGTTCTAAAGAAATAGCTATGAGTTTGGGCGACTGGAATAATGGAATTAGCTGAAAATAGGGCTCAAAGTGGGCGAAATCGCCGATTTGTAAACAGCGCTGAGGTCGCTAACTTCGCGAGAGCATAATTCCGTCAGTTTTCCATCAAATTTTGTTTTTTTTGGTGTCATTACAATCGGGAAAAGATTCTCTATCACAAGAAAAATTATTTTTTTTTTTTTTTTTTTTTTTTTTTTTTTTTTTTTTTGAAATTTTGCGACACCAGGAGACACCTCAGGATTGGGGAGTTGCGACAGTCAAAGGGTTAATTGGAGATCTTTGCTTTGCAAATTACTGCTGTATAGTCCTTGTGGCTTAGCGCTTCTTTTTGATTATAATAATAATAATTTGCAAATTACTGTATATTTTTTCTTTTCACCTTCATTTTTTATTTATGTACTATACATTATTGTAGTTTGTGAGCTGTTTTGTAGTTGGTGTTGCTTTTTATGTGTTGATATATAATTTAAATATATTTTTGGCCAACTGCATTATAATTAATTTTTACTGTATATACGTCCTTATGATTCTTATTTAATTTGCGTTGCGTGAATACTTTGAATACCCTTTTCATATTATGTTTAACTCTATTTATTTTGCTGGTAGATGGTAAAACCTCATGATATTAGTTATCTGCCATTTGTGATGAATCAAGCTGAACGGTCATACCAGTGCAGGAGTACAGTACAGTAATTATCTTGGTTTGAAAGATGTAAGAGGCTAGCATGGGAAACAAGTTTGAGTGATACAAGAGTTTCTTGGCAACATAACTTGAATGGTTCTTTTCTAGGGATTAAAGCCAATTTTGTGAACTGAATTATCAAAGCCTCTATGAGATAACAATCACTGTATATTATTATGAGAGGCTTTTCATCTTTTTATTTCTATATCTTCTCTCTTAAATAGTCCTTCGTACCACTTGTGGTTAGGTAGAGCATTTTAAAATGTGATCAAACAACCCTTGAAGTAGACATCATAAACTATAAGCATTAATGCAAGATACATATAAAAATTAACAAGTGATATGGACTATATGGTTTTAGTTTAATCTACCCTGCAAAGGTAAATTAAACTTGATGCCAGTGATGGGCTCTGTATCCTAGGAATTGGAGCTACCCTTTCCTTCTCATATCAAACTTAATTGCTTCATATTCTCCCAGGTGCTATAAATCTTATGGGTTTAGTGCTTCCCCTTGACTATTATAATAATTTAACTTAATTCAAATTTGGTAAAGATAATTTACATACATTGAAAGAAGTTGGTAAATTTGATCCTCATCATTATTGGCCATTGGTTGATTTGTCAAGGCTTGTTGTCTTTCATTTTTATTCTCACAATTAGTGCAGTAATTTATGAAATTTTGTTTTTTCTTTCACTATATACTATCTAAAATTTGATATATAATGAAATTTTCTGTTCATCTATTTTACGTACATATGTTCTTAGAGGTTTTACTCATCTAATTAATGTATAAATAAATATTAACAAAATATTTCTGCCACTGAACTCTTGCCTTTCCATTTTATTTTTTTTTATGCATGTGTCTTGATTGTCTTTGTGACTTTCCTTACAGATTCAGTATTTAGAGACAAAGACATAACACTTCAGATATTTGGAAGTAAGTTTACCATTTTTGTACATTGTCTTGTTAGCATGTTTATCTTGAGTTAAAATTATATTGTTATTGTGTAATTTTTATATTTTGGAGAACCGAGTCTTTCTAATTATGTATGTGTATGCATGCATGCATATATGTATATATGTATGTGTGCAAGGGGCTTGGACATACAGCAGGCATGTGTGAGCATGTTAGATAGGAGTGAGTGGAGACTAATGGTTTTTGTGACTTGATGAGCTTTTGGAGTGTGAGCAAGGTAATGTTTTGGGAAGGGATTCAGGGAAACTGGTTAGCCGGATTTGAGTCCTGGAAGTGGGAAGTACAATGCCTGCACTCTAGAGGAGAGGTTTAGGATATTTGCTGTTTACAGGGACATTTCAGCTGTCATATCTGCACGCATCTGGCAAGACAGTGATAATGTAAACGATGGTGAAAATGTTTCTTTTTCGGGTCAGTCTGCCTCTGTGAGAGATGGCCAGCATGTTAAAAATACATATATATTATTTGATAGCAAGATAATGGTCAAATGAATGATAGTGAATGTGTTTCTTTTGGGTCACCCTACCTATGGAGTAATAGTTGATATAAAAAGTAATCATTAATGGTGAAAAAATGTGTGAAATTATTATTATTTATACTATATTGATAAAAATATATTGATGTAAATTTTGAGATGAATGGTCAGATGAGGGGATTTTCAATGAAGTCTGTAGTATGCACAACATTTTGTTTATAATTAATGCTAAAATACCATGAAAATAATGTTGTAATGTACATAGCATTCTTCATTACTAAATGGCGCAATAATAAAAAGCATGGAGCACTATTATTACACAAACATTTAAAAAGTAATGTGCTTTTAATTTTCCCACCAGAGAGTGAAATCCTAGAAGCCATTGCTCAGTTTGACTTCTTAGCAAGGTCAGAACGTGAACTCAGCTTCAACAAAGGAGATGTGTTGGTCCTTCAGTCACAAGTATCCAGTGACTGGTGGAGAGGTTCATTCCAAGGAAAACAGGGCCTCATACCTGACAAGTATATCCTTTTGAAGATTAGGTATGTTTACTACAAAAAGCATATTCTTTCGTAGTGTATTGGATTATTAGTTGTTTTATTCTAATGCATATTTTTAAACTTCATATTTCACACCTAGGTGGGACATTATCCAAAGAAAAAACTATTAACATTAACTGCCAAAAAAGGCACAAGTATTGTTCTGCCTAACTCAGAGTTGGTTTCCGTCCTCTTCCCAGCATTTCCTATGATAGTGTCTCTTGATTTTTGCATTCAGGTCTTCAAAATAAAGTATCCTCCCACTTGCAGAAAGTCTTTCTCAAACACTCGATTACTTAAGCATTAACAGTAACCCATTTCTCACATCCTATAGTGCTTTATTATTTTTCCGTCAAGTTCAAAATAGTTTAAGCTGCTTAGGAGATACACCAGTATTAACATGTGTAAATTAGTTCTGGGGCAGCAGTGTAGCTGTACTAGGTACTGTATAGTATAAACATCAGATAGTTAAGTGTACCACAGTGTAGTGTGCTGCTGTGGTCCGTGGTTCATTGCTAGGCACATTGCTGCTGCCACATTTCTACAGAGCTCACCATCAGTAAAATCTAGCAGCTGACCATTTTGTGTCGAATAAATTTTGTTGTAGAAGATGCAAATCCTGAAATGTAGGGTTAAATACAAAGCCAGGAGAAAGGGAGGCAGTCAGATTAGTTCCACTTACAGTATTTGAATCAAGAGCCAATAATATTGAAGATTGTAGTGTTAATTATAAACGTGTACATGTACACGGCAGCAGTATTTCCCCACATCTTTGTTTCTTATACTGTCATGATAAGTGAATAAAAGTGTGATAATGTAATATATGTTATGGTTGCAGTAACCAGCGCATGTAATATTTACCCATCTACCCTCCCTCACTGCTTTTCTCAATCACTTTTGCTGTTCGGTGTCTTCATGAGTAGCATTTATTAAATTTTGAGTCATCTTAACAGCTGTCTTTGAGACACTACTGTCTTGTCAAATGAGTATGAAATGGAAACTATTTAAATTTTTTGCACTCTGGCAAGATTTCTGATCTTTTCTGTCTCTCGTAAACATGTATGATAATAGGTCAATCTTACAAATTTCTGCTTATGTTCAGTTTACACATACCATTTGTTTTCCTATACGCTTTTTAGTAGTTCTTATTACCTTTCCAAACTGGTCTCAGACCAGGCCATAGGGAAGATAATTAACCCTTTTGGTGTTGGTCCTATTGTATCATGACTGTGATGCCTGTGTCGGTCCTGTAGTACAATGCCATGAGTTCAGCTCACTCGGATAAGCTGTGAGCGGTAAATTTGGACCTGAATATGAGAGAATGGATCTATGCAGTAAGTGTGCACCATATAAAAATAATCCTGCAACACACAGTGCATAATGAGAAAAAAAACTGTAACCATGTTTTCAGTTTAAAACAGCGACTTTACAGTGTATTTTTGCATGGTTTTTATGGCTGTATTCTCAGTTTCTTGGTCTAATTTGATGGAATGGATGATATATTACGGAAATAGAGATGATTTCAGTTAGTTTTAGAACTGAAAGTAGCTTGAAATTGAGCTCAAACCAGTGGAAATATTTGATATTTGCCGATATTCCAGAGTACACAAATGATATCACTTGTCCACTACGCATCCAGCTGGCCAGTCTAATATGCATTTAGGAATGCACTGACATTATTTATACAATTATTACAATAATGCAGTAGTCTGCACAACAGTAAGTCTTCTATTTTTTGTGTGAATGAATGCAGCCTCTCCTTACTTAGCGATGTACTCGTTTACCGACAGACTCGGACTTACGATGGGCTCTCTGACTAGTATGCATACCTAAATAATGTATATTAGAGCTGATTTTCTCTATTCTGTTTATTACAATATACAGTACACTACTGTATAAACGTTTAAAAATCTACTAAAAATGTTATAAATGGTGCAAGGGTGACATTAAAGTAATATCAAAGATGGTTGACATAAATCCACTTCCATTATAGTATGCTTATCATTTAGTGACGAATTCTTTTACCAACGCAGTATTAGGAACGAAACTCCATCATTAAGTGAGGAGAGGCCATATTCAAACGGAAAAGCAAGCATATTATGAGAGGGGCCTGGAGATGTGATTAAGGAACAGAGGAAATGTTCATTTAGTACCAGGAATATCTACATTGTTTATTCTGGAACCTGTTTTCAAATTGGCAGTTGTTCAATTTTGTATGAAATTGTCCAAGTTACTGATTTCTGATCACTTTATTGGATAGTTGAAATAGGTAAAGGGGCAGTTTCTTGTACTCTGTTGACAGCATGGCAGGAATATTAGTGAAAATAGCTGTGTTTGGTGGACTGGAACAATGGAGTTGGCCAAAAATAAAGCGCAAAGTGGGCAGAATCGCCAGTGCGTAAAAATGCTTTGCAAGAACATAATTTCGTAAGTTTTCCATCAAATTTCATACTTTTGGTTTCATTACCTTTGGAAAAAGATTCACTTATCATTTCATAAGATAATTTTTTTGGGGGAGGGGGGGATTCTTTGACCCTGAGAGCAAGTTTGATAGCAGGGGTCTCGACGCTGGAAGGGTTTATAATCCCTAGAACAACTAGCAGATAGTAATTTCATTGAATGAAATCAAGCAGCAAGTATTATATCATTGGGTCTAAAAAAAACTGCACATCTTTTTCAGAATTCATTCATTTATCTGCAAAATAAATATTTTTTAAACTGTTCACTGGATTAACTTTAAAAACTTTGACAGAGATGAAGACAAAGATCGTCTCAGTGACCGTGGTGCTGCTGAAGTGTTACGGAGACGTGCATCCTCTTCCTCGGAGTCCATCTTGTCTTCCTCTACACAACAATCTTCTGATGGTGTGATCAGGCCAACATCTCATAATGGGGCAGCCCAGGCACCCCTCTCACCCTCTCCAGCTTCAATGCAAAGCCAAGTAAGGGAATATGATAAAAAGTAGGGGTAAAATTTAATGATTTCTAATTTTTGATCTTGAATTTAACATGATTTGCTTTTGCAGCCAATTAATTAATGCAGGTTTGCTTTACACTCAATTGCTTAATTAAGGCTCGCAAGCTTGTGCATGATAAGTAGTGACAGGTCACAAGGAAAACCGGGGTAATAAAAGTTACGTTCTGCCATAATGACATATTCATGATAAAATAGGAGCTTATACTTTCCTATCTTTTCATGTGTATGGCATTTTGAGCCATCGAATCCATTATTACTTTTATTATCACCCTAGGACTCGTGTGCCAGCCCTGTGAGTCGTGATGGCCTTGGAGGAGCCTCATCCTCGCTAGGGCTAGACTCTGGCGGGGTATCGGACGGGGCACAAGCAGACGGGGCTCGCTCATCCTCACCGCTGCCGAGCACCCCAGGGCAGGCCTCCCACTCCCCTACCCCCCCACACTCCCTTCAACACGGGGCTTGTCTCTCCCTATCAGATGTGTCGAGTATCGTGTCTGTCCAGGAGGAGGTAACAGCATAGTTGGTGTGTTGGGCAGTTTTATTGAGTTCTTTGGGTTTTTATTTGATTTAGTTGCTATTGCTGGGTTAAAGATTTTTTGAAAGCTGCACTGTCATAGTGTATAGCACTGTCCTTTCACATTTCTAGCAGCCAGATTTACTACTGCTTGCTTAAGAAATGTGGCACAGTGCAATTCACCATGGTATGTGAAGAGTTGGTCACTGTCAACTGAAGACCTTATATTCTTAACCCACTTTTGCCCTTTAAAAGAAAACCCCACTTGATGGGAAACTGCATACTTTAGATGTCTGTCTTTTGACTTATTCAGAAAATAAGACCAAATGTTGGACCATCTGATGTATATCGTAACTTGATTGAACAAAATACTTTTTCCCTAATGTTTTTTGTGATTTAATATTTTGATTTTACTGAGTTTATTTAATACTAAATTCTCCTTTAGTTGTGTAATGGTGTTGGCAAAACATGTATTATACCATACTTGAAAATTTTCCTGATTTCTATTAACAAAATTTTGTATTTAGCGGTTTACAGAAAGAAGGGCGGTCATGTAATTAAGTTAAGTTTTATTTAATTCACTTATGTTTGGTTTTTATTTTTGTGAAGCCGAAGCTTAAGTCATAAATTGGGCACATTGGCGGGACATAGCCAGACTTGAGTCGACTTGTGATTGTCAGACTTTTATTATGAATGCCAGAACACTCTTTGGTACTAACCTTGCATTGCCAACTTAAAATTCTTGTAATTTTGTATTGCCATTTTTTTTTTAAATAAACATGCCTTTTATGTTTTTGTTTAAAAAATTGTAAGGGGAGCTTGTATGGAACTATCAAAGTTAGTTCTGGAATTCCTCCCTTTGAAGTACTTCACCAAGGCTGATTTTCTCCTCTTAAGACCAGTAGAAAGAGCCTTATCCACCTCCCCCCATGTAAGGATGACAATCACAGGTCCCTTCACTAGTTTACTGGAGTGAGCCCATGCTGTGTAACATTACAGCCTTCCTCCTGTGAAGCCTGCATGTTAAGCTTACTCAAACGGCTCCTGTAGACACAACACACCTCTTTACCTGGACCTCATTACCTTTTGCATCATAAGTGTGTAATTTGGATTTTTTTTTTTTTTTGCACATTACCTATGGCCTATACCCATGTAGAGAAGGTAGTGTGTTTTGCCCAGCATTTGCTTGCTAAGGTAGTTATCCTGATATCCCTAGATAGCTACTACCCAGATGTATGGCAGACCATAAAGTTGAGAAAGTTTCTTAATATTCTAGTATTTGCAAAAGTTAATTTTGCTCTCACTTTCACAGTATTTCTCTTGCACCCTCACTCGATATGTCTCACACTTTCATGTATCTTGCTCTATTTCTTTTTCTCATTCTTGCTCTTTTTCTCTTGCTTTCTCTCTTCTTATGCTCACTCCCACTATTTTTTTTTTACTCATCTTGCTCACTATCGTTATGTGATAATTCTTCTTGCTTATGCTGTCTTTTTATTTATTTTCTAATGCTTTTTTGCTATATCCTCTTTTCATATCCTTTTTTTCCTCTATCTCCTCTCATTTCTGTTAACCTTTCTTTATCCTGTGCATCTATTTTCTCTTGTCTTTTCTTCCCTTTCTCCTCTTCCCTTTCACATATTCTTTACCTTGTCAATTCTCCTTTTTCCTTCTCATTCTTCATCATCTCCATTTTTCTTCTGATCTCTTTTTCTTCTATCCTCTTCTTTTGTGTTTTTTTTTCTTTTTTTACCATCCCTCCTCCTCCTTTTTATCATCTCTTGTTTTTTCCTCTCTTTTTCTTCTACTGTTGCTTCATTTGACTTGGATTTCATTTGGTATTGGATGAAGTTTTGGATTTTTTCTCTGGAAACTATCAAGTAAACAAGAAATGGTATTTGTAGATACAACTGTAGTCTTGGCTTGGTGAAACCATGATAGACCTGTCTCTGAGAGCATATAAAATGCATTTTCGTTTGTAGCAGTAGCTACAATTTTTTTTGAAATTACATATTCTGTTATGTATTTTAGACAATTTTAAAATATATGTTTATGCCAGTTTATTAATTTTAGGCTTTTTTTTTTTTTTTTAGATACAATAACTAATCAATTGTTGGGACTCCTTACCCATGTAGTAAACTCGGAAAATTACATATAATTTTTATTCATATGAAACTGATTCCTGAGGTCTGGCTTTGGCTCTTGGGTAAGACCATTCAGACCTACATAGTTGTTTGTCGTGCTGATGCATCATTTTGGGACATATGCCACCTTAGTTGAGGTAACTCTTGTTTTGCTTCTTTAGGTCAGTCCTTTTTCTAGCTTTGTCTACATTTTGAATTCAGAATAAAGCCAACTTTGTCCAAGAGCCCATTACTGATTGTTTAACCCTTTCACTGTCATGACCCCTGAAATAAAGTCCCACCAGTTCACTGTCATGACCTCTGAAATTTAAATTCCCATCATTTCACAAATTTTCAGAAAAAAAAAACCTAAAAGGGTTAGGAATGTTTTTTAAAACTTACTAGAATTGTGCAAACCTGAAGTTGGAGGTCAGGGGCACTTTGTGCAACTAAAATTTCTCCCACTTTGAGGCCTGTTTTGTGCCACAATTTTTAGCTATTTTGCTAGTATGTCTTCCATTCTACCAATTAAGCACAAGAAACCATTTATTCAGCTATCAGAACTACCCTATAAAGCACCCAGAAATCAGTAAATTACCATATTCTAAACAAAACTTAATAAATTCTAATTTAAAAAAAAAGTCCAAAGTAAATACTGTGGGTATTCTAGTCAAAGCAACCTTCTTTTTTTGTTCATTAATAACATCCCCAGCCCTTCTTCTGACAAAGACTTGGCCTTTGTTTTGATTCCATCATCATCATCACCACACAAAATCGAAGTTTTACCCTCATTCTCAGCTGATACAGTATAAACATTAATGATTGGTCATAGTTTAGGCCATCCCAGTAATTGAAGCAGACTTATTAAAAACCCATAAAACGAACTGATGAGTGAAGGGGTCCCTTCCCTTCCTTGGGAAAATTGCTGAAAATTTAATATTTTTGCTCTTTGACTTTTTTTTTTTTTTTTTTTTTTTTTTTTTTTTTTTTGTCAGTACAAGGCTCTTGGTCTAAGGAATTGGACCTGCTGTCCCCTTGCATTGAATCTGAATGCCTCCCATTTTTCTTGGTGCTGTAAGACCCATATGGGTTTAGCGCTCTCCCTTAAATAGGATGATCCACCTTTTTTGAGGCCTATTTCAAGCTATTTCCAGACTGAAACAGACTAAAACTATTTCTGTTTCACAAATATGTCTTCCAGTTTATCAGGTGACACCAAAAAGTAGCAGATAAAACCATGAAAATCACTCTAGCTGTTTGCATCATGCACCTCATGAGGCAGGACTTTTGTTTATACTCTGCACACCCATTCTCTTATGTCTAGGACAAAATTTACTGCTAGCAATATATCTGAAGGTGGTATGATTGTATGTATACATTAGAGCCACTGTCCTCAAAAACCTATCTACATATGAGACAGTGAAAGGGTTAATGTCTTTCTGCAAAGAATTTTGAAAATATTCAAGAACCCACTGTTCTTAAATTGTAAAATTTAATAGATTGTCTCTGTACTCGATCAAGGTTTTAAATTTGTAATTCTGAAGAAGGTTAAAGTGAAGTAGGATGTTTGGAGTTGTTAGATACCTAAACCACTTAGCATAGATATTACATACTCTTTCCACACTATCTTGCTCAAACATTTTTCTTTGTAGGTGTTAACATATCAGTCTTCAGAGTTTGGACTTAAAATCATGTTCAAGAAAATAGTCATAAAATTACCATCTTTTTACTATGGCAAACCAGAAAATCTACTTTCTTTCCTTAACAAGCCAGTATTTATAGAGCTCAAATTTAAATATAAGAAGACTGGTTTAATTTTATACTAAGAAAACTCGCTTTTCTTTTTGAAAACTCGCACGTTGTAATTTGTATATATATTAATCGAATGCAAAATTACCTAAATTCTTTGCATTTTAATAATGCCACTTCTCTAACATTTTCCAAGTGAAGTAATTTACGATAAACTTTGATCAGCTCTGTGAGGCTTTATATCATATTTAATTAATCCCACTTTGTAAATAATAATTATTTAATTCTGTTGGGTGACCTAACTCTTGCAGCAGTACGTGGTATAGATTTGCAAAGGAAAAAATCCTAAAAAAAAATTTTTCACTGTAGTAACAGTTAAAAAATGAGGTCTTGAAGTTAAGGTATATTTTTTTGTGTTAAGAAATCAGCCCTTTTTATGTTCAAATACTGATTTATAGGTGTTATGCTTGGAAGAATATTGGTATCCTTAAAATGTTTGTGTGATTACAATAATCTAGGTTACATTTTGAGTATTAAGAAGAGCATTTAAAAGAAATAATGATGATAATCCACATTTGATTTTTGTATTGTGTTTTAGGTAATTAATAAAAAGTTATTTGTCATTTTAGTGAAACAATAAAAGTTGATAACTGGGTCAGTATATATGTACTTAAAATCACAAAATGATTTGCTGAGCTGTTTTTCAGTTCTATTGTGAAAACTAGGTTAGCTTCGATTTTTTTAACTCTACTTACGTTAGACAATTACAGTTTTGTCATGCAGAGAACACAAGAAGAACCACTGTAGCAGATTGCAACCCATCTTCCAAATATCGAGTTCCTGTTCCAATGCATTATAGTGCATTAATTTCTGCATGCTGTAAGCTGAGACCAAAATTAAATATTGGTTATCTTTGATTAAGTTAAATTAACCTAAATTAGCCTAATTAACTTTTACTTATGCATATTCAACTGCCAATAACCAAATTATGCAAATAGGAGTGTTGCATTTGGCTGCTGGATAAACATTGTCCTCTCTTTAATAGTTGAAAACCAGACTTATTAAAGTTGGAGGATGGGTTCCAGATTCTAGCTGCTTGCTTCTGTGAAAGTGTTCTATGTT